GGATAAATGTTTTGGTGGATTAACAGAAACAGAAGACTCAATCTCCCCATCCATAACACTGAGAAATCTCAGAAGTAGTCTGGTTGCATGGCTCTAAGAAAATTGCCAACTCTAAGAGGACTCCTAGATTTCAGGCCCACATGTCCAGAAGAAATGAAAGCAGCATTTCATCCATTTTCAGTTGAAATCAGAAGCTGAACGTTTAGGGGGAATTGTAAAATTCTACTCAAGCCAGAAGGCTGAGCAAAAGGAGAAGATCTGTAGATGAGAAATTTGTGAAACAAATAAACAGTTCAAGCCATTTGATTTAACTCCTCAGTAACATGGTATAGAATAAAGACTGAAAGGAGACAATGATGAAACTCTGGAACCTTTTACAGAAGGAAGAAGGATGGGAAGAGGAGGATAAAGTGAAGAAACAAAGTGATAAACTCAACTGCATACTAAGTCAGCCTGCAAACACAGTCTGTATCAGGTAGTGTCAGACTGAATAGTACAAGAGTGAACTCTGGATTACGTTTAATCTAGCGCAAGCAATTCATGTCTCATGTAGAACAAAATTACAGCTTTCAGGCAAAGCCAGGGATATCTTAGCTGAGCTCTATTTCTGGAAGCAATAGGTGATCCACTGAGAATTCTCTATTATCTCTTTGCCTTTATGCTCACTTTGCCCTTAAATGCACAGAAAAAAAGTTACTGGAAAAAAAGCACCAATAATCAGTTTACAGAACTATCATTACAGATAATTTTCCACTTTTTTGTTTTGTTATTGCTTATACAGTACACTTTTTAGAGTCAATATAGATGCATTAAAGAGTTTATCACACAGCAGTAAATTAAGAAAAAAATATATACTTACAAGGAAAACCAGAACAAACATTAAAAAACATAAATAATTAGTAACACTTGATTTTGCTGATAGCTACAAAATTGAGAAATGAGTCACCGTGCCTCAAAATTTTCTCAAAGATAGAATAAAAGCTCATCTCACAGACCAGAAACAGTAACGTTGTATTGCTGAAATTTTAGTGTTTATTCAGTATGACTTACATTCTCTCCAAAGACAGCCAAACATGAACACACACTTAAGGAGAGAAAACAAAGCTATCACCAATTCCTGATTTGAAGGTATCATAACTCAGAAATATATATACCGCAGCTTTAAAATTTTAATTCTCATGACATGCATTGCTAAGCAACCAAGTTTTCTTACTAAACACCTCTTTCAGCACAGTCACGACTGACTAGTAGAATTGATAATGTGATTCAGAGAAGAGAGTGAGGCAAAATTATCTATATTTTGTTCATAAAGGACCAAACTGAAAGCATCTAGTTAATTTTGCTGGTATTGAAACAGAGGAAAATGTCTGCTCAGTAATAAAGTACTGTAATATTTATGAAAAATACTTGGGAATTATTTAACAATTACTATTTGAATTACAATGACTATTAAAGAGCTGGTGCTAGAAATACTCTATTCAAAGACTGTTCACCTCGGTAGGACCACAGAATCAAAGACGACAGGAGAAAGAATGGCTCTAACAACTTCTTTTGGTCCCTTATGACACTATCTTTCCACCACCTCAGTGTGCTCTGAGCCATGCCCTTCAAAGGGGCAATTATATGATGCACACATCTATTACGAGGAAGAATCTCGAAATGAAAAGTATTTCGTTAACTCCTTTCATCAATTTTTCATCAACTTCTAAGCAGCTGTACTTGTTTTCTATCATTGCAGATATAAAATGTAAAATACATTAACAAAACCAAAAAAACCCAAGTACTTTCTCAAACATCTCTCTCACCCAGATAATAAATACATATGACAATGATACTATAGTATTTATTTTAAGGAGGGGGAAGATTGTTTGCTTGCCCTTGTGTATTTTTGAGGTACATGTAGTTAATTTTTCTTTTTTTGGTAACACTCCAAGGAAAAAAAATAAATCTAACTGAATAGCAACACATGAAATAGTAACATCTAGTGGAGTTCCATATGCACAGTGAGGAATAAATATTGCAAATTTCTCCTTTTGTATTTCTTAAACTGTCAGATAAACACCTTCACAAGAATTAAAAATCCTGGCATATTTTTTATTTTAAAAAATCAGTTATTCCCTCATGGCTTCAGCATGAATTTTGATGTCCTAGTATCTCTCTTCATTTCACTAACATATTTATCATGCTCCTCTGTACAGATCCCTCCCTGTAAGACAGGCATACAGAAGAGGCACCTTTCTGCAAGAAGGCTGTTCTAAACAACAGCCAAGCTTTTGAGTACTGTGGCTATTTCTTACATCATCAGAAACTGACTTAAGTACACAAAGATATATATACCCTAATTTTCATGTAGCTAGCTCAGGCACAAAGCGCAACAAAATCATAACAACATGGACTTTCACACAGACTGTAAACCTACCACAATCCCAGGTTACTTATTGTACAACACGTGAATGAATGAAATTCCTTCCAGCCCCTTCACAACTAAACAACAGGTATACTACATACCTACTACAACTACACCTCATGATCAGTGGGTAGACAGTGTATAAGCCTACTAACATAAACGCTGACAACTTCCTGGCTACACACATACCAATTACGGTCTAAAACCAGGAAAACAATCCGAGTAGAAACAAATAGGAAGCAAAGTATTTTTTAAAATTATTCAGTATTCTGAGACACTACATCCAACAGGACCTGCAACACTGCGATGTGCCACAGCACAGACTAGTGGTTACACTACCGACAGGTTCTCAGAGAACTTTTGGTGATCTTTAAAAACTTCCCCAACATATGACTAATTGCTGTTTTAAAGACAATTTGGGCCTGCAGCACAAAAAGCACCAAACCTGAAATGCACTGCACAGGTTTTCAGGAATGTGACAAAACAGTATTTATTAGGCAGCTGTTATTGTCAGAGGACATAGACAAAGAGCAGCTCAAGATACACAGATGGAACTGGACTTTGGATTAGTCTTTAATTTTGAAAACTGCACTTCTACAGTGCTCGTGAAAAAAATGACACAACTAAACATTGGTGTTTTCATGGCATTAAAGACACAACCTTCTTGCTGTATTCTTATTTCAGGAGTGGCACAGATATTACACATTACTGCTTTGAATATTTTCTGCGATAGTGAACTATTTTATCTATTAAGAAAGAAGCACTTAAAGCTGACAAAGTATGTGAGTCACAAATAAAAATGGTAGCTTTTTCTCATTCTAATTATACACTTAGGTGGTACACATCTGCTGGGACAGATTCACAACTGAATAAAAGCAGAAAATATTCTAAAATTAACATTTGAGTATTTTGGAATGGATTAAAAAATAATTGAAAGAGCTGTGCTGCATGACATTATGTGCAATTATCTTTTGTCCTTAAGAAAAAGGATTAGTGATTTGTAACATTTTGTCTGTGTGTTTTTACACTTTGAACTACTAGATTTCCATATTTATCATTATTTTAAACAGAGATAACAGGAATACATTACAGTTTACACACACACACCATAATAATACATCTGTTGTAATTCAACAGGAATTAATCACTTTCATCAATTTATTTTTTGAACCTTAGAATGAATTATTTTCAGCATGTAACAAATGAGGTAGCTTAGCATGTTTCATTTTCATTTACTGTGTCAAGTGTTGCAAGACTGTAGGTAAACAGGATAAAATAGGCTTTGCAGATAATTTTCCTATTTAAGCTGGCCATTTTGAAATTAAACTCCAACACGTGATGCTTTTGTGAAAATACAATATTCATAATTTGTAGTCACAGTTTCAAGTGCACCTCTCGATAATGTCAAGAAGATCACATGACCAAGCACTCTGAATTTATCTAGCAGGACCTGGAATAAAAAGTTCTGCCCTTTTATACCTTTTAAAACTGTATTTTACATAGTCTTATTAAGACTGTCCTAAGAGCTGTTGTACTTAGCAAGCAACACTCATTTAAGCATCAACTAATTGACAGATAGATGTATAGCACATATATTCTGATACAGCTTCCACAAAAGTCCAAAATATATACAAGTCATGCCGCAAAGGAAAACAACTGTATCAGTCTTTAACCAAGACAAAAGCAGCTGGCTTTTGATGCAAATATCTGGCATTAGCCACTTATAGTACTTATAGCTCACTGAGGAACAAGGAATCTTCCTCATTTAAAAGGAATACTCTTATTTTAAGATACTTAAAATGAACACATGTTCAAATACTTCTTGTACCTTTTAATCTAATAAATTAGACCAACTCGCTTCTCCGTTCTAGAAGAGCTGGTCGAAACTAAAGACCTGAGCACAGATCTACAGCTCCTTTATACATCTAGAGACACATATAATCAGTATTCCCAGAGTAGGCACTAAGTCAAATAGCATTTTTAACAGAAGTATTAAAATGGCAAATCACGGTTTTTAGTCCCTTGATAATGAGCCATATAAATGACAGCATTTTGATTCAGCTTAATGGATTTTTTTTTCTTACCTTACTATGCAATGTCAGTCTCAACACATTAATAGGAAGTTTCAACACTGTCATTTTGATGGAGAAACCTTAAATTTACACAAATCTAAGGCCTAATATTGTATAGCCTTTTATCAAGCCAAACAGAACAACATCAAGAAAAATATTTTACTTTTTCTACTCATTATGACTTCTCTGAAATAAAACACTGATATACATTAAGTCTAAAGTAAAGTACAAGTAGGTAACACCAGAGGTGAACACCTTTGTCCTTAAAATTAATATCAAAGCCACAGCTGAGAAACAGCCTGCTGGCTATGGATAGTAATAACTTATATTTAGAAGCCTCCTCCTTTCTGAGTCAATTCAGATGTAGTATCTTAAAAGAAAAGCAAATTTGCCATTTTTGTTTCTGCATCTGTCTCTCTCCCTCCCTTAACCACCTTTGAAGGAGAACAATGAGGAATGTGACTTAGCACACTTCTGTTACAGAGGCAAAAAGCAAAGGAAGATTTTCAGCACTGACTCACCAGTTAAGATGAATGTAATCATCATCATCACCCAGCCTTGAAGGGGATATTCTTTCTTAACAAATGCTGAGGGAACTCTTGTAATGGTAGAAGCGGTTCAGCTGTGCAGAGGACTGAATTTTAGGAATCCACACACCAGAATCTATAGCACTAGCAATTACTTTAGAAATACCACTAAACTTTACCTTTCTGATCTTCTGTATCTTTTTGTGCCTACCTGTGTCCTGTTTACACTGAACAGTGATGGAAAAAAACCCACCATACACATACACACAAACATAGATAGATATACCCATACATATACATAACTTCTTAATCTGTCAGTGTATCACTTGATACATTTCACAGACCAATTTAGAAAAGTGAAATAGAGTTCTTCCTTCCCAAATGCTGCGAAATCTCAAAGTCACACAGTTGTTCTTCCTCACCAACTTCTAGCCCACCATCCCTGAAATCCCTTTACCACAGTTGGCTCAGTTTAAAACAAATTATGAATGCTGTGCAAGAACTACAGAAATTCAGGGTCACTGCCAATGATGTAAGGCAAGCCACCAAGCTAGTAGATCAACTTATTTTCAAATCTGATGAGAATATCTGGGAGTATGAAAACCTAGATTCAAGCAATCTTGCAATAGACTCTTAAACAAAACTCCTAAGCTAGGAACCTACTTGTCCATGACTCTCCCTACACACATGCCAGCTGGAAAGGGACTGGTGTTTGGGTGGAGGACTGAACAAGGCATCAGAGAGCAACAGTGTCATTCAGCAATGACAAGACATTCAGCTGAATTACATCCAAGAACCATTACTTACTTTCCAGGCTGTGAAAGTTAACGAGCACAACTCTTGCCTTTTTGTGGTCTTTTTATTTGAGCAAAATTAGATTAAATACTACACCAATTCTAGTGATCAAGACTTCAAAAAAAAAAAACCCAAAAGATTTCCCATATTTGCCACTGAGTTCCATCAGGTTACAAAGTTACCGATCTTTTTTTTTTTGGCTGACCTTGATGAAAAAAGTTCCTTGTTCAGCTTAGCAGAAAAGGCACTGAGTTACTATACTATCATGCTCAACCTCCTCATAACAAGCAAGACACTAAACAGACAAGCACAGCACTTTTCTGCATCAGAAAAGACAAAGAAGGTGCTCAAAACTTCATTTTTCTAACTGCACTATTGTATATCACAGACATTAAGTATCTGCCCTGCAGGACTGTCTGACAAGTTTAATGAGTATGACCGAACATCTTGTGGCACTTTTCCACAGCTAACCTTTCATAAATGATTCAGAAATCAACCTAGAGACCATTTCAGACAATGCCAGGAAAAGCAAAACATGATCCCATTAAGAGAAAACAGGGAAATGAGTAAAAGCATTTCAATTAGCTAGAAGTTTGCAAAACCATGGCCACTTCTGAAAATCCAAAATAAAACCTCTTAAACACTAAGATCACAGTAGATTGGGAACATTAAATAAAACAATGCATTCTTTGCTGTGCAAATATGTGATAAATCCCCAGGCCCAAATCTATAGGTTTTACCAAGCCTAAACTTGCAAAGAAATAATACTGCTTTAGCAATGACTATAGGATTTAATTCAAAACATAAAACAGAAACAATATTATAGAATAGAAAACCTGGCAGGAAGCATATTGTGGAGTTTGGTTAAACTAAAAAAATTGTACTACGAAACTACAACACAGCATCAATGTTTGAGATACTTCAAATTAACTGCAGTAAATCTTCAAACGATGCCTGATACCAGTATTAGACTATACATAAAGCAAGCCATGTCTAGCATGTCACATAAATAGAGGACTTGAAATCACTTGTGCAGAAGTCAACTACAAATCAAGTGTGAACTGAAGGGAAATGCAAAATATAGAATTTAAACATCTTACCTCAAACTTCATTCATTTTGTCACACTCCTAAGTACGAATTCAAAGGGACAGGATGGACATGGTCATTATAGTAATTATAAATAGAGGAAGTGTCATTTTAGCTGTTTCTTAGGATATATGATTTGTGTATGGAGTTAACCAACTTTCTTGACTCAGAACAGGTAGTGCTGAGCACAAGACATAAATAAATCACAGGCCAGACTTTTGAATGGAAGGAAACTGAGCATTTTGATTGCATTAGGTATTCAACCACACTTTCCAGGATAGGAAAAAACCCAGAAATAAGTAGACAGTAAAGATGCATTTTAAAAAAAGTGTTCTAACAACAATACCTCTTTGCACCAATCTTCCCTAATAATCTTAAGCAGTTACAGCTAGCATTATTGCTATTCAAAAAGTCTGTTGTCACTACCAAAGCAACATTTACACTTCGGCTGACAACATTAAGTAAAATAGGAGCAGGAATGTAACCCCTTAAAAGATTACTTGTTAGCAGTTCCTTATAAACTGAGATCATGTATTCAGATCTAAAACCAAAGCAATACACTCGTTCTCATAATCCACAATCTGATAGGATGCTGTTTGGTAGTACTTACTCTGCAGATCTAAATGACTCGGGAAAAAAAAAAAAAAAAAAAAAAAAAAAAGAGAAAGTAGTAATTGCAGCTAAATCAAAGACGTTGAGGATGTGATGCATCTTATCATCTTAACTTACACTAATTCTAATTTTGTAATTGAATGTTTAGAAGACTACTTTGAAAGACTAAATCAAATGTTCCTTTAACCAAAAATCTCATCCAGAAACAATCTTTGAGAAATCTGAAAAACAAAGTGTATTGTGTTTCTAAAGGTCTCAGCATACGGAGTGGACCCTCATGCTATGCCATCCAGCAAGAGGCAGGATGTACTCAGCTGTTAGGACATACACTTTCTGATAAACTAAAATTTCTACCTTAGAAGCTACTAAAAAATGCCAGAAGCAGAGAGGCACCTTTCTCAGTAAGCATCAAACAGTATCAGAGCAGCAAGAGGAGTTTAAAACCATCTCATGACTTTACATTTTCACACTTGTTACTTCGCTTTTGCAAAAAACAAAGTCAGATCATTATTAATCAAGTCTGCTTTGAGCACAGTGTTGAACTAGGTGACCTTCTGAAGATCAATCCAAACTAACTATTCTCTTATTCCAAGAATCCTTCTTTCTCATCATGACAACACTTCTCATCTTCAAGGTGAAGAATCTGGAAAGTCACCTTCAAGAAGACAAGAGAAAAAGCCTACGGCTTTGCTTTGGAAAATAAAAACAGCACATCCCCATGCTCCAGCAGCTTCATCTCTTCCTTTCTAAAGGGAAATCTATATATGAGCTAGTCCTGAGAGAGGAAGGTTTTTTGGTGTGACGGGTTATTTTGTTTCAAGGGATGGGTTTTTGCTCGCTTTTTAAACCAGGACAACCTAGAAATCAGAAAAGGGAAAGACTTGGCAAAGAGTCTGAAATCAGTGTTTGATCTCAAAAAAAAACCCCAACAAACCAAACAGAGGGAGTGTCAGAGGGGGAAACTGCACAAGGTTTTTAGTTTAAAATTCTCAGACTTAGTTTTGACCACATGATTTGGCTGAGGCATCTGCAGGCTCATTACAGAAGCATATATGTTAAACTTCTTGTTAATGTCCTCACTAAAAATAATTACTTGCAACGTTTAGCCTACTGTTGCTACCCTGTCCTTGCTATAGCATTCCTCTCCAGAGGCATTCCTCTCCAACTGAAATTGAAGTTGACTTAGATAATCAGAACAGATATTCATTTTGATGAGGGGACTCTCCAGATGGACTGAATGTGGAACTCTTATATTTCAGCTATGTAACCAATAAGCTCCTTGGCTTACACTAGCATTTGTAAAAGGCTTCAGTTATACTGCACTATGATATCCTAGTGGAATTCTAGAAGAGGCCCACAACAAACCATGGAAAGCCTAGGTTTTATTTTGACATGGTGAATCAATGTGCTTTGCTACCAAGCAATATCAAAAATAACTCATGTAAGAAAATGAAATACAATAGCTACTTTTAAAACTCAAAGACACTTAGCTGAAGTACTTGTTTAAATATAGAAAGAATGTATATATTTGATTAAAACTGCCAGCTAAAGAAGAGTTTTTCTTATTATGGCAAACCTCATGAACAAAGTGCTCACCTCAGAAGAATAAAACTTCATCTTAGGAAATGCTATACTGCTTAGGTCTGTGCTTCCAAATAGGTTTCCTAAATCTGAAATATATCAAACACAATACTACATATCATGGCATCAGAAAGCCTAGATCTGTAAAGGTGGTCATGGTATTCTTACTTCCAGATGAATTATTTGTGCCACGATTAATATACCTTACCAAATACAGCTTATCAACAAAAAGTGACAATTCTCAGGAAATTAAAAAAAGCACATTAACAAATGTAAAGAATTTTCAAAATACCAGTATTATTACTCAAACATGCTTTATTTTATAATGCCCCCCTCCAATAGCCTTTTACAATAAACTTACAGAAAAGTTTTTATATATAAAAATATATATTTGTCCAGCTATGTACACTATGGCTCTTCAAAGACCTTTATGTCTAGCATATTCCATGACTGAAAGAGGATCAGATTCTCAGGGATGTGTGTGAGGTCTAGGGAGCATTACAGCCATTTATATATTTCTTTTTTACATTACGAGATACACAAAGCAATATATCAAACTAACTTATATTGTGGCAACACATGGAAACTTCTCCTGAGTTTACAGATTACATTCCTTAACCTTTCCAAGCCCTGTTCCATAACTTACCTGCTGCCTTTGTTACTCCTAAAAGCTCCAATGCTTCTGCTCTTGATGTAAACAGTAACAGTGCCAGTGCCAGAAGCAATTTGTTTTATTTCTATTATTCACAGATCTGTAGTAGAATTATAAGTGTTTAACAAAATGACATTTCAGCTGCAAACTGTAAAGTGGCTAAGAAAGTCAAAACCAGTAGATGTCTACAATGGAGTAATTTGCATTGGAAAAGGCATCCAGAAAGATCAAAGAACAGAAAGAGAGAACTTGCCTCATTCACAGCTGATTTACTTTCATACTAGTTCAT